GCAAGAAGATGAACATAATTTGCAACTGTATTACCTTAATATTAACCAACCGTTTTGCTTCATAAGACCTCAATCTGTCATCGGAAGTCACATAAATTATTTTATTTACTTTGCTGTCCTCTCAATGTGACTCTGACACATTCAGTGAGCCATCAAGAACAACAGTTTCAGCTAAAATGTTCTACCAATGAAAAAAAAAAAAATATATATATATATATATATATATATATATATATATATATATATATATATATATATATATATATATATATATATATATTCAGCTATTTTTTGACCTGATGATGAAAAGATTAGCAGCACAATTTTCATCTTCAATTAAGGAAAATTTGTTTATTTTTTATGTATTTTTTTATTTTTAATGAGAAAAATCTTTGATTATAGTTTTTAATGCTTGTTTTACTTATTTAAAACAATTTGAATTTATCTCAAGGCCGTTTTTTTTTTTTTTTTTTTCTGAGCTGCCCTGGTTAAGATGCACTGCATTAATGATGATAATTACTAATGAGTAATGTACTTTACATTTTTAATGAGCAAGGGACATACTCCTTCCTGACCAGCTTTGGTAAATCTTATGTTGTATTTTAAATGTAAATTTCATCCAAAATATTTGAGATTAAAGAATAATTGCCCAGCATGACCCCCTGCTTCACAAAGACACTTTGATAAATAAAAAAAAGTACATATTTCACAAATTAATCATTGTTTTAAAACACACAAGCCTCACAGTAGATTTAGTCCCGTAGCTGTTATGATGTGATTCTCATAGCTGTTATGATGGAGGGTGTACAGAGGGGGGAAATGTCTGTTTTATATGCATTGCATGGAACACCTTTTTCTGCGTGTTTCCTTTGATACGTGATCTATACTGTTGGGAGTGGTCGTTTGTATTCATTTAACATTGATTGTGTTATATAAAAAGTAAAGAGGTGAAATGATGAAACGCTTCGGCAACACCTCCACAAAGATAAAGCTGGTGTGTTAACACAGCTCGAATTGTAATCTTACATGGCTATTTATAAAAAGTTTAGTCAGATGGACACAGAAAGGACATTTGAAATTCCTTTAAAACTTCTAAAAGCATCTCACTACTGCGTCACAGTGTCAAGTTTCTATGTCACTGGACTCCATACGTGTCAACAATGGGATGTGAAAATAAGCATATATCTATAAGGATCGTCAATGACAGCATTCAATTGTTTTCTTAATTATTTATGCTAATTTAAGGCACAATTTGTTATGTTCACAATAAAGCATGCAGAGACAGAGATGTTTACATATCATTATGCATATCTGACACATACTCAAATACCAAATTTTCAACTTTTGCTCCTTTTTAAATCACGTGCACAGAAGCAGCTTGGAGCAACATTATTTTTTGCACTTCCAACAGTCACTTACAGGCCCAGATTTAGAATTCAGAGACCCCTGGATACAATCTGCATTGCTCACATTTTTTTATTTTATTATTATTATTTTTTTAATAATTAATTTGGTACGCCTATACTATTAATGAAATATTGCTATATTAACTCTAAAATAAATAAACAAATAAATAAATAAATAAATAAATAAATAAATAAGCAAACAATTTAAATTTATTACACACCATGTCGGGAACACATAAAACTAGTTTGCATATTTATATTTATTTAAATATATTGTATATAAATATTTTTCTCTATATTTTTAAGACACTAGTATTCAGCTTAAAGTGACATTTAAAGGCTTAACTAGGTTAACTTGGCAGGTTAGGGTAATTAGGTAAGTATTGTGCTATTGTGTAACAATAGTTTGTTCTGTACACAAGTGAAAAATATAGCTTAAAGGGACTAATAATTTTGACCTTTAAATGGTGTTTAAAAAATTTAAAGCTTTTATTCTAGCTGAAATAAAACAAGTAAGATATTAAATTATATATATATATATATATATATATATATTATCAGACATACTGTGAAATTTTCCTTGCTCTATAAAACATCATATATAAAATATATAATGGGCAAAAAATAAAGGTTTACATGTATGCTGGCCTCACAGTCTGGTCTCTAATGGCACAGCATGATTGGGCTGGTATTTAACATTCTCCTCAAAATAATGTTTAATTGCCGGGTGCGTATTTTTTTTCACTCCTCAATCACGTAGATGAAAGCAATTGTTATTTTCCTCTTGCTGCTTCGAGTCGCTGAGGGTGAGATGACTCGTGAAAGAAGCTGTCGCTTGTCTAGAGGAGCGATTTGTTCTCCAGAATGCATGGCCTCGTTTATTTCATTACCTTAATGACAGCGCTTCAGTGCAAATTTCATCCATTCTCAATTTTCTGCCTCTTCTTTGGGGTTAGACGGAGCACTTTTCTAATGCAAATGCAGACATTAGTGATGAATCTCATCTTTCATTGGTCTTGTGGTTTCGTGATAGCAATGAGATGTACAACTCTTCAAACCGGAATCATGTTTCATTTCCCTTCAGGCTTTATGAAAAATGAATTGAGCTCAGGTAATGCATTTCCACTTTGGCTCTCCAGGCCTTAAATAACATTTTGTTTGACCTTACTCCATCCACCTCTCATCGGTCGGATGTACTAACGTTTCTCAAACTCACAAACTAGGTGTTAGTAAAGGTAAGACAGGTCACTAAAGAAATAAACTAATAGTTATCACAATATTTTCCCACTTGATTTATTTGATTAAGAATTGCAGATGTGTTTGTATTACAATTTTTCTAAAGTATAATATTTAAATATGCAATTTGATGCTCAATCTCTCTTTCTTGTTTCTTCTTTTAAGTTTCTCCCCTCCTTCTTTCCTTATTCTTTTAATTCTTCTTTTTTTATAGGCTGTGAAACACAATCAGTTTTTTTAGATGTATATTTTATGTACACCGGTCCTACAGCACCCAGCCCAACCCATGCTGAGCTGGGATCAAGCTGGTGATTCTTTGTATGGGAATTGGTTGAAGAATAACTGAATAACACTGTTGAGAACCGGGTTACTAGGCTAACTGTACCATGTGGTTAGTAACTGTACTATGGAGCAGGTATCGGGCAGTCACTGCGATTGGATACTATACCAAAGTTGGTGATTAGAGAGTTTTACAGAATACATCAAAAAGCTGAGATTCTGGGCATGGGTTGTGGGGGTTGTTGTATGGGAGCTTTCCAGGAGATATAAGAAAATGGGATGGTGGCGGGAAATTGGTCTGAAATGCAGGAGACTCCTGGGAATAGCGGGAGTGTTGGCAGGTATGACCACATGTAACCCACCGGTCCTACTGCACCCTACCCAGTCTGAGCTGGGATCTGGCGATTCTTTGTATGGGAGTCGTTTGCTCTAGCAAGCAGGCTAAAGACCATGCCCTCTAGTGTCTGTCACTAGAGCACCTTAAGAGGTCAGAAGAGTGAGGTTAACCTGCATAGCATTTCGCTAGCTGGCCTTCTTTACACTCACCAACCTAAACCTCTATCCCATCCTGGACGAGCCCCCATATGTAACACACCGGTCCTACTGCACTCAACCTGCTCTGACCTGGGATTCAACTGCTGATTCTTTGTTTGGGAGTTGTTTGCTCTAGCAAGGAGTCTAAAGACCATGGCCTGACTAGAGCCCCTTTAGAGGTCAGAAGAGTGAGGTTTACCTGCATAGCACTACGCTAGCTGGGCTCTGTTTTACTCACCCCTCTAAACCGCACTCCTATCCCGGATGAGCCCCCACATGTAACCCACCGATCCCACTGCATTCAACCTGCTCTAGCCTGGGATTGAAACGACGATTCTTTGTATGGGTGTCGGTTGCTCTAACAAGGAGTCTAAAGACCATGGCCATGACGTTGACCATAGATGTATATATTTAACATGCATGTATATATGGTTGTTGCTTGTCTGTTGTTGTCTCCTGTAGTTGGTATTATGTTTACTGTTATCAATTTACAATATCAATTACATTTTTAAAATTTAAACTAAAACAAACAGTATAGTGCTTATGTGGACCCCTATATTTATGTAAATTTCTAGCACAAAACAACAAACAAATGAGCAAGAAATAAAAAAAAAAAAAAATACATGATGTAAGGTAAAAACTTATTGTTTATTTATTTTCACATATTCAAGCCAAAGGCTTTTTTACAGAGGGAATTTGGGTAATCTTGTTAGAGTTTTTTATTGTTTTAGTTAATGTCTGTTTATTTATTCATTTATTTTTTATTTATTTGTTCGTTCGTTCGTTCGTTCGTTCGTTCGTTCGTTCGTTCGTTCGTTCGTTCGTTCGTTCGTTCGTTCGTTCGTTCGTTCGTTCGTTCGTTCATTCATTCATTCATTCATTCATTCATTCATTCATTCATTCATTCATTCATTCATTCATTCATTCATTCATTCATTCATTCATTCATTCATTTGTTAAGAACAAAGCCCTCTATAAAACCTCTAGAATACAGAAATGAAGTTTGGTCCAGGTGTGAAAATTTCTGGCTCAATGCAGGAGGGGAAAATGGGCTGTAAAAATATGTATTCGAAATCTATGGACACGTTCACATTAGACTCATATTGAAACTTTATTAAAAAAAAAAAAGTGACAGATACATGGATTTTTTTTTCTTTCAGAGTCTCAACTTATTAATGCCACTGCAAACTTAAAAAACAAAAAGGACACCACGTCTCATTGCTGTCATGAATTAGTTTTGAGCTCTTTCAAAGCTATAGCATCTACGTGTGATTTATAGTTTAGTTGCTAATATATACACTTGTCCCTCATTATACACAGCCTGAGATGTCCACTTTGTTTTGCTCATGCTTTGCTATATCTTAAATTAATGTGATAACTGGATTCATGGGGTGACTTATGGGAGTCAATAAAAGTTGGAGAAAAAAGGCTTGTTGTTCCTCACCAAACTCACTGTGAGAGTGGTCAAAATGATGTGGGACACTCTGCCCTGGACCATTTGAAAAATGTAAATGTTTAAACATGTTTCTTTTTTTTCTTTTTCAGGCAGAGGTGGTGGATGTTCAGTATGGAAGCCCTGAGGATTTGAGACACGTCCAAGCTAGTACAAATGTGACCAATAAAATTGCATTGCTAAAACTCGGAGGAGCACCTTTGCTTTACAAG